TCACAGAAAATGAATGGTTCGAGAAGAATTTAAACTAACAGTTGATAAATCTGTTTTGCTATTTTCAGTATGACAACTTTATGTATCAGGGGTAGCGTTGGTTCGGTTTTTTGGTTTTGGCTTTTAGAGGTTCATCACAAAAAAAATTTCTTATTCTAATAAAAGATTTGAGTTTTTAGGGTTCTACAAAACTTGAGTAAATGTTAACCGTTTTTAAAGTTTAGGATGTTGCTGGAGGTTGATGAGCGTCCCGAATGGCTTGTCACGTCGCGCTCGAAGAAGAGAAAGCAATGTGGATCAATTGCAAATAACTCGACAAACAAAAGCCAGTTTACTTTACACACTTATAGATCTCTGAAGAGGAACAAGAAAAAATCAGTCAACTAATTACCATGCACTATTATATCACTGAATCATCTATATAGCGCATTGAAGAATCCGAAATTCATTAAAGGACAAAAGTGTTGTACAGCTAATTTTTAGTAAGACCAACGCTCCTCAGGTCTGCGGGCTGTTGCAGGCTCATGATTATGGCTGTTCTGACGATAAAGAATAGCAAGATAGTTGAATGATGGCGTAGGCTGTTCTGGTTGAACTGATGGCGTAGTATCATTGAGAATTCTTAAGAAACACTTGAAGTTGCGTTTCAGACCCTTTCTTCAAAAACACACAACGATTTTGGGGGTTTATGCGAACAGCCAATAAACCCATCGGTGTAAAAGTGGGGTTTTGCCACTTCTGATCATTACATATTGCATGACAAGAGTCAAAGCTTTTCCCAATTGTCATCACCATTTTTAAAATTATTGAAATTATACTTCTCACTTAATTCACGATGAATTGCGTACTTTTATATTTTAGATTATTTTGTTGCTATTGTCAGCATGAGGCTGGCTTCAATTGTCCTCTTGAAGTTTGGAGACCATTCACATTGTTGATTCGTGGCCAAACGGATCTGCTTGATGCTAGAAAAGTTGAATCTCGTGAAATGGGTTGTACTGATAAGGAACCCAAGATAGAGACGTGACGCCATTGAAGATTGCGTCATGGCGGTTAAAAAAATGCTCATGAAAGTTGAGATTCGTCTATTTCCTGATTCGATCATCGACTTGTGATATTGAAACAAAGATGCAATATCTCTTGTCATGGTTGTTTATATGAAAGAATTTTCGTGAAAGCTTCACGGCAAAATACTTTGAAACATTTTTTGGCGCAAATTGAACTTCTGATAAAAAGCATCTCCTCTTTTCTCATGACCAGCGAAGGAATAATTATCTGAAGTTTATCTACATCAATAGAAACAGCAATTACGCAGATCAATCAAGAGTCCTGAAATTTCCCGTGCCCAAGATTACGGGGGCAAGGGAAATGAAGGATTGCACATTGATTTGCGTCTATATCACATGCAACAGATCCTTGTTCAAAGCATTGAATCTATCTTAAATTTTCTCAGCATGTATCCGCGCCTATCAATTATGCCGGTTGCTTTTAATTTATTTTGAAACATTTTAAAAGAAATGCATTGCGTAAGTAAAACAAGATGCAATAATTGGTAATTTTACGAAATTGCTGTAAGAATTTTTGCTCAGCGAATAGACAGCACACAAAGAGCAATACATTGTGAAGATGATGGGGGGGGGTACGTAACATTTACAGTGAATTGCTCATGCTCCGCAGCTGTCATTGGCAATGCATTAAGATGGGCAATTAAGGGTTGACATCTGAATGTTATATGGCAAAATATCTAGCAGTAAACTTGCATCACTTTGAAAAACTTCCTGTAAGCCGTACAACCACATCATAGGAGTGATATCATGCGGACCAGTTCTTTGATCTCCACGACTTTTGCTCTTGCGACAATCCATGTGCGCGGATCACCAAGCACGTCAACCCGTAGACTCGAAGCCATTCCTGAGTACGAGGAGAGTGTTCTGATTGAGATGGAACAACATTTCGGGCAAAAGCTGGAGAGAAAATTGACAAATCTCCCTACTTGGGGTGCGAGTGACATTAAGCCGTGGTATGGTCCGGCTTGGGGAATGTGGGCCGACAGTATCAATTATGTGGAGACAAATGGTGATTTTGCTCCTTCTGCGAAGTACGCGATGGCCTTTGGATTAAACGTGGATGAATTCATGGACAAGGTGTCGGCCAAGTTTGGCATTGATTCCGTAAAGGATAAATCTTCTACGTGTACCTCATATTGCGAAGGTCATGACAATGATTGCGCCATTCGCAAGAACTCGCAAGTCAGGTACTGCGTTTCCCGATGGAGCAGCATCTCTGAAGGTGTAGCTCAGGCTTCATTGCTTGAAAAAGAACCTCGTTGTCCAGTGACTTTCAATAACGTGACATTTAATCCTGATGATATTAAAGGATTGATATCAGTCGTCTATGCTGAGGCTCAAGTGCCAACGATATACGGTGGAAACTACTTCCCAGGCCAAAATGGGACATTGGATGGGAGTGTTCCATCTGCTCCACCTCAGTATCGTAACGTGAACCCCGCTTTCTATCATATCACAGCTGCTAACCTTCTGGGAAAGCTCAATCAATCTTTCATTTTCGATCGGTATAGTGATGAGCGAGTCTTAGATCTCACAGCTTTTGCTTTCGAGGTGACTAGGCTGCAGCGCATGACGTTGCAGGAGGCTGCGCGAGAGTTCTTCGATTCGACATCTTACACTTTTAATGACAAGGCGACTGAAGTTGTTTATGTCGCTTCCACTCTGTACTTTGTCGACTCCAAAGTGAATGATTACCCTAGCTTACCGTACACCTACATCTTGGAGTTGGACTCAACGGGAGATTGTATCGGGGGTCAGTGGTTGGAGTATCAGCCAGACGCCATATTGATTCCGAAAGAGAAACCAGCTGCCGACTTGGTCACTGGCATCGGCATCAGCTACGCCAATGTTTTGATGTTGATCGATAAGTCAGCAGCGTGCTCGAATTAGATCAACTATCGATTAGATGA